AAAAAAAGAAGCAGAAAAAAACCACTGATCCAGTACATGTCTCCCTCGTGAAACCGTCAAGCAGGTCGGGAAAGAAATCGAAACGCCGCCCAATGCCGCTAGCTATGCAGGATTGAATCAAAGAAGCAAGGTGCGAAAATCGCAATAGAAGTTGAAGTGGTGCGCAGGCGCGCGCGCAAGGTGTCGTGGTCCTGGTTGCTGCGATGAAACCGCACGCTCATCTCACAGCATGGAGCAGCCAGCGTTCCCAATAGGACCGTACCATCAACACCGACTCTCTGCCGTCGTTGTGTCCATCTCTGCTACCGGGATCACCGATAATGGCAGCGTAGATCCAAAAGGCAGCGGAAATCCAGGCGGCAAACGCGATGCCCATGGCCACGAAGGGAGAGAGGAGATGTACCATGAGGAGTAGCGGCGTGTTGTACATGCTTGACACGGGCGGCGCGTAGATGTAGCGGAATTGCAGGTTCAGCGGCGGGCCGAGGAATTTGACCAGTTGCTCGCGGTAGTCGGGGCGCATGGAGCAGAAGCGGAGGGGCTGGAGCAGGGCGGCTAGGATGATGGCGACGGTGGTCCAGAGGAAGATCATGAAGGACAGGAAGCAGCAGAAGCCTGACAGGTGGAACTGGGAGGTAGCTGTTAGCTAGCGGATTTTTTTTTTTTTTTTTTTTTTTTTTTTTTTTTTTAGCTTGCTACTAGCACCGAGTAATACGTACGAGGATGCCCAAGGCCTTGTCTTCCAGCTGGGCTTCGTCCACGTCGGACTGGTAGTAGAGGTCGTCAGGGCCATTGCTCGGCATGTGGTTCCTGGAGCGGCGACCATTGCTGGTGGGAAAGTCGGCCTGCTTTTCGGGGTCCTTACACATCATGTCCCCGGAGACGGCGGGCTCCGGGGCGGCGACATGAGCGGGGATCCCTGGGGGGACCTGCATGGACTGGCTGGTGGAGCTGGAGCGGGCATCGCGAGCGGTATTTGAGTAGGAGTGGGAGATGACGGAGTCGTGACCGGAGGGAGGGTAGTCGGAATGCGAGCCGGCGGGGCGGAGATTGGCCTTGCACGGCGGTGGGTAGGTAGGAGCAGCAAGAGCAGAAGCAGTGTCTCCGCAATATGCCATTTGGGGCATGTTGGGGTTAGTTGGCGCGCAGTAGCCCACCTAACATCTGCTACAACAGGGGAGCTGGATCGAGGGGGGGCGGGCGTGCAGCGCTGGCCATGGCATTTAAGAGAAGAAGCCCTCTGGGAGGGAGGAGGACGTTCAAGTCCATGGCTCCCCCGGAGGTGCTTGGGATGGCCGTCTTGGAGACTTGGCTGTCCACACTCAGCTGCTTGGCATGCGGCTGGGGCCAATGAGGGGCTCGGCTGGAGAGCGTCCGCTTTTTGCCCAGAGTTGCTGAGACGCTGCTCCAGGCCCGGTCCAAGGCGGAACATGCGGCAGCCAGCCAAACGATGTTCGTCTGCCAAGCGCACCGTTACGTCCGAGTCCTGCCAGGCCGCGCAATCCATCTTTCCACGGAGCGAGTTATTAGCCGTCCATTCCGCCCACCCTTTCTCTCTTTTCATCAGTGAAAAGCGATGGACTGACTACTGCGTGGGGGAGGGCATGCGATTAATCCGGCCACCCGGGCTGCTCTCCGCGCGAGGCTTGGCAAAATTACAATGTGGCCTGTGGACGGCTGCGGAAAAAGCTCAGCTCTCTCCCCACGCTTCCTCCCAAGCTCCCCCGTATGAGTACCAAGGTTACTCTCTTCTTGGACACCGAAGCACTGAAACAGCCGCCAAGAGGGCGCAGCACGACAGCTCACTCCTTGGTGGGCAAGCCATTCGCGCCCAGACGCACAAGCCCAGCGCTCGTACGATGTTGGCGTTACGTCAGTCTCCCGCGACCACGAGGAAGCGCGACCCGCGGAACCGCGTCCACTGTCCACTGCCCACACGGAGCGGGCTTGGCAATGACCTCGTCACTCTCCGCGCTACCGAGAGGATAATCCTAATTCCCATTCCCCTGAATTACGACGTATACGAGTCGGAAAACGGGGGGAGGCACATTCCAGAAATAAACCACCAGTAAAATCTCGTCCAACAGACAATGCGTGCACGCCGAGCGAGCGAGGGCTAACGCTACTCCACGTTATTGACCTTGGCCTTGGCTTTGAGCACCGTGGTTGAACAGATATCGTACAATATCCACCGGGCCGCCCCACGCCGTGACCCGGGCGAAACCAACAGCCTCGTCAGTAATACGATGGAGCCCGGTCAGATGAAATTTTCTGGGCAGAACCCACCATGCAGCTTGCATGTGACGATGGTGTGGATGTGGATAATCTAACAGCCCCGTTGCGGCGTTGCCGAAATAACCCGTTCGCCTACTTGCAATATAATATAGGGCTCTGTACGAAAACCAAGAACCCATCCCAGCAGGCAGGAAAGAATGCATCCCAACGCGCACGCAGATCGAAGGGAAATGAGAAAGAGAAAGGCGGCTGAAGAAACAAAGCAAAGCAAAGCATGCATGATGCATCCAACCGTACAGAAAGTACATGGATTAACCAGAAAGAGGAAGCAAGGGCTAACCGCCAACGCCGTATCTTCGAACCCTCCGTGCCCTCTAATTACTTGGCGATAAATCAATTGTCATCTCCTACTCCCCTATTGGCCCATCTCTGCTAGAAACCGAGATTGCACCCCGCCCTACCAACGGATATCTCCCGTCATTCCCGAGATCTATTCCAACAAACTTCGGAGAGGCACGATTAGATTGATAGCAGTCCTGACTATCCAAGCGGTCCAAGCCAAGACTCAACTTAAATTTCTCCACCTCAGCCCTATGTGATCTGAGCTTCTGCAGCTCGGAGCTCGGCATTTCTAGGCATCGCATCTGCACGTTTGAGGCTGGAAACGTCAGCGGATCACGTCTTTGTTGTCCTTGTCCCCCC